TCCCTCCTTTTTGTAAAAAAAAAAAAAAAAAAAAAAAGGCAAAGGTTTTGAAATAGGACCATTCTTGGCAGTCTAAGGAGATGGGAGTGTTTTTGGAAAATAATAAGTGAGAGTAAAATATCAGTTTAGAATAGAGTGGTCACAATGGTGATAAGGAGAGGTTAGATCCCGGATATATTTTGAAGGTAGAGGATTTACTACTCTGAAGGATTTCCTGACGTCAGATGTTTAAGAAAGATAGATATTGGGTCAGCCCATGGCCCGGTGGTTAAAGGGACTGGATCCCACATGGCTGACCCCAGCACCAGCCTCAGACTCAGCACCTTGAGAAACATGCCGGGCGTGTGAGCGTGTGTGCCCAAAATCCTGAGGGAGGGGAGATGGAGAAGGGACTGGGACAAGACAGTCCCATGGGGGATGCTTTCTCCTCTCCTTTCCCTGTAGAATGCACACACCCTTGAGCAAATAAATAAATAACCTAATTTAAACATTACAGAAGAGGATTAAACATGAACTCAGGGGCTCCCTCAGAGGACCCAGAATACGCTCGTAGCCCCCAGACCACGCGCACACACCGTCTGGCAGACTCTGATCTAAGATCCTGGCACAGTAACTCACATTGAACTCCCAGCCACTGCTGCCAGTTCAGCCACCAGATCTGCCCTCTCCGGCCACGCAGAACAAGGCGGATTTTAATCCCACGCAGCAGGTCCCTAGACTATTCCAGGAGAGCCGTCCTGTGACTCCCGGTGGAGATCTCCCCTAGTCTCAAAAGCCTATTTTTCTCCAAAGCCCCTGCGTCCCTGGCTGCTGGTCCAGGCCAGGGCTTCCTTGTGAGCCTCTTCCAGAGCTGAGCCAGGTGTGGGCTGGCCCGGTGGAGCAGGGGCACGGTCAAGAAACCTGCACTGGGCTGGACAGGGGTGCAGAGGGGAAGTGGGAAGCTCTCCAGAGTTGACCCTGTGGGAAGGTTCCAGGTTCGCATCTGGAGTCCTCCGTGAGTGTCCCAGGGTACAAACACTCAAGACCTGGGGCTGACTGGGAGCAGGGTGACCGCAGCATCTGCAATGTGGTTTGTCCCAGCCCTGGTGGCTGGAAAACACTCCAGGGGTGGGTGTGTGTGTGTGTGTGTGCCCAAAATCCCAAGAGGAGAATGGAGGAGAAGGAACTGTGGTGTGGCCATCCCCCCAGAGGGTGCTTTCTCACCTTTGCTCTCTCTCTCTCTCTCTGACAAGCACACGTGTCCTACAGCAAAATGGGGGGAAAGTTTCTGAATAAAAGGAAAGTTCTGGAGATGGATGGTGGTGATGGCGAAATAACACCTGAGCGAACTTAAAGCCCCTGAACTGTACGCTCGGAATGGGTTAAAATGGTAAATCCATCATGTATATCTTACAATAAAATAAATAAAGCATTTTATAAAGAGGGCAAAAGAATCCTGTAATGTAGTGGTTAAGTGCTGTACACAGGCAACCAGAGCCCGCGAAGTCGACTGCAGTTCAAATCCCGGTCCTGGCAGATGCATGTGTGTGCCTGCCCCCAATCCTGATGGGGAAATGGAGGAGGGATGACTGTGGCAAGGCCGTGCCCCATTGGGGGTTCTCTCTCTACCTGGCAAGCACATGCACACTCCGGGAATTAAATAAACAAACCCTCTGGTGACGAGGTAGCCACCAGCCTAGCTGTGGGAAGAGGGAGTTGTGTGACGCCTGGAAGAGAAGTTAACATGATTAAATTCCACCTTCACAACAATCCTATAGTCTGTCCTTTTCACGTGGGAAATGACAGAAGTTGACCTCAGAGAGGTTATGTTGCTGATTCAAGGTCCCACACACACTAAGTGGCAGCAGTTGGCTCCAGACCCAGCCCTGATGACTCTGCAGTTAAAAATCTCACCCTCACCTCCGACTCATGCAACCTAGGTTTGTTTGGACCTGTTTTTCTGACCCTGCAGGACATGTGACCAATGTATATCCAGACTAAAGTCAAGCAAACCACTTCAGGATGTTCCGCGTAAGTGGCTAAACCACGTCCGCTGGGCCCTGTGCTTCTGACCTAAGGGCACACTGTTCAGGCTCTTTGTACTGGTGTTTTATTTCGCTGCTCCACCTCACTCTGTAGGAAACATTCTCTACTCTTTTCAGCAGGTCATAGCTCTTGCTTTGTTCTTTTTTTAAAAAGGTTTTTGCCATGGGTGTGTGAGTTCACTGGAGACAGAGACAGTGAGGGGGAAAGTAAGAAATCACCTCCCCAGGGGGTATGGTCATGGTGCAATCCCTTCTCCCCTGTTCTCCTCCTAGGATGTTGGGCAGGCATGCACACACATGTGGCATGATTTCCGAGCCACTGGTTCCAGGACTCAAACCATGGTCAGTCATGTGGGAATCCAGCGCCTTAACCACCATGCCACCTGCTGGTCCCTCTCTTATATATATATATTTTATTT